CATTCGGACGAGTATTTCATTCATCCATCCATCGATAGGTGGAGCGATACGCTCAAAAATAAGCTAATTTAACGATCGTGAATTTAACGAAATAAGCTAAGTAAACGATCGTCTAGGCCGTGGCCGATAATCTCTATAATTTTATGCCGAGAACGAGATCGAGATCTCGGTCGGATCTAACTAGAAACCTCGAATGCATGTTGAATTAGGGACACCCTGTATAGATATTGCCGGGACAGCTGACTGGAATTCATTGTATCGCATGAAAGGGTTGGAATGCGTGGCTGCGTGCATTCTGGCACAGATCGGGCGTGTTCGGCGGGAACAATGGCGCAAAAGGGCGGCAGAGGGATGATGGCGATTTGAGGGATTACCGCCCTACGTCACAATACCATTTTTCTAGGATTAAATATTATGTGACGAGCTTATTTAGGCTAGGAAGGGATCGGGCTTGTTTTGGTTCAAAGCAAAAACAAACACTTGCTCAAAACGAAAACAAGTCAATACTGTCATTGGACATATATTATGACGTGACTATTTTTAAAACTTTGTAAAATTAATAGGCTGGGAGTAAAGCTTCATTCAGAACATTGCAATTAGTGGAATAAATTAGTAGCTTCAATTACACTTTATACTTTTTAGTTTACGATCATTCACAGCGTTTAAAAAACACAATTAAAATTAATAGAACATCCTAGCAACAACTTGCTTTAGTCAGTTGTATCCATAGAGAAAGCCTAATATTTAGCTTATAAAACAGTCAACATTTGATTTCTAACAACAATTTCTCTTGACTGGGGATAATCAAAGGCAAAAAATTACATTTCTCGCAAGTTTGGAAGTATAATTAGTGGAAAAGTTAAAAGTTTGATAACTTTTTCTACCAATTGAAAATCTCTACCACTAATTTTCACGTTTAATATATTTTGTTCTAGTGGGCCGATTTTGATGATTTTTTTAGCAATTTGTAGATAAATTATTTGACTTTTTAGTATCTCTTTCGAATTTAAAAATTAATGTTTCCATCTATCAATTATACGAGGGAATTTTTTTTATGATATATTGGTGAAAGTTTGAAACACCCTGTGAAATATGTTAACAAAACAAGGAATTTAAAAATCAATTTATCATCTAGATATGTCTTTTCTCAATAGTCTCTTTTTTGATTCATCTCAATAGCTTTATTTTTATAGATGCTTTTAAATAAGAAAGTAACGATTTACAGCTTTTTTAGCATTGATTTTGGATCCTCATCAACACACTTATAAAATAGTGTTTATTATTTTTGTTATGTTACTGTCATTGAAAAGTCATATTATTATTGTTTATTGACGTTTACTCGAGTTGATATGGTTTTAAGTTTTGAGGCATTGGCTATTGCTGCTTTAAATGATCATCGTAGACATCGTTTGGCCTTAAAACCATATCTGCTAGAGTAATTGCCCAACAGACAAGAATAATATGATTTTTCAAAGACAGTGGCATATAAATCATAAACACTATTCTGTAGGTCTGTTGACTAGGACCAAAAGCAAAGGCATACTTTTAATATGAAAAATACAAAAAAAATGTTAGTGTCTGCTTCAAAAGCGAATATCTCCAATGAAAATGATGCTATCGAGATGAATCAAAAAACAAACTATTGAGGAAAGTTACATCTAGATGATTAAGTGATTTTTAAAATCCATGCTTTGTGAACGTACTCCACAGGGTGTTGCAAACTTTCACCAAAATATTTTGTTTCTCCTCGTATAATTGACAGACGGCAGCTTTCATTTTTAATTTAGAAAGAGATACTAAAAAGTCAAATCATTTACCTACAAATTGCTTAAAAAATCTTAAACAAAATATATTAACTTTAAAATACATGAAAATTTTAGGGTGCCCCTTTTTCGTGCCGGTGAATGTATATTTAACATCATCTAATTTCCTCTAATCTAAAATAAAAAAATATTAGTTTTTAAAAACGACTATAACAGGGTTATCTAATCATAACCAACCATCCCTGTTTCAAACCAGAACCCAGCATCATAAAAACTAAATCATTACATCCCAAAACGAAACATAGAACCAGAGACTGACTATTATCCAGTTTTACGACGTTTTTCTATTAAAAAAAAGGGCGCCATCAGTCACTATAAAAAATCCACCCCTGCTGATACACTACAAAACCCTCCATTTGTTGCCTTTTTATCTTTTTGACTCTCTCTCTTCGAAAAAAAGGAAATACAACAGACTTTCTTTATTAAAGGAGGCCTATTATTTTTGCCAAGGCTTCTCTTGTGTCTTTGGCGTTGGAAAGGCCTCTACCTGCGGCTAACAACTCGCCTCGCGCCATCTGTCTGTCGAAAAATTGCACCAGGTGTTAATGCAATTATGTCCATCATGCTCATATTCCGTTTTTCTTTGAAATCTGCCCGACAAGAAGCGTTTTGCAATGCGCTAAGTTTAGAGCGATAAAGATTTATTTGAAGAAATGCCAAAATTATTTTTTTTATTAAAATATTATTGTATTTAATGTGTTCTTTTTTTATAAATTGGATTAGGATCGAAAGAAATCAACAGAAGTCCTTTGTTTTAAATTTGTCGACGTTTCGCAAAATTTATTTGCATCTTCAGGACAATTTAAATCTGGACTTTCTTAGTCATATCCATCTATACCATCCGTTTATTAATGGATATGACTAAGAAAGTCCAGATTTAAATTGTCCTGAAGATGCAAATAAATTTTGCGAAACGTCGACAAATTTAAAACAAAGGACTTCTGTTGATTTCTTTCGATCCTAATCCAATTTATAAAAAAAGAACACATTATATATTATTGGATCGACAACAATAAAAATTATATTATTGTATTTGTATATTATAGATTGTGTAGGAGTCCGATTTGTATTCGGCAGCATATTCTGCAGATAAAAATAAATATAATTTTTTATAAATTTATATCCTAAAATGCTTCGTTTCGGAGATACGGGGTGTAGAAGTTTCATTTGTATTTCTGTTTTTTACAAATAATTTCTGAACTATAGCCGAGATTCTGGGTGTTTTCTAACATGAGAAATCTGATTTAGATGTCAATATGACACCGATTTGTAGGGGGCGCCACCTACATGTGTTTTAACTGTTTTTAACAATAATAACTTTTCAACCGTATCTGTAGATATAAACCTACTGAGTGGAAAAGTTGTTATTATTGACAAAAAATAAACATGTTGAGTAGATAGTCATTTGACTGAAATGATAACCGTGGGAACTTTCTGTTTTTTTTATTTTTCTTCAAAAAAATATGATAAAACAGTTTCTGTTGAACTTTTGGCACAGAAACATTTCAAATTTCATATTTCAGTCAAATAAGTATTAGCGAACATGTTTAATTTAATGTCAAAGATGACAGGTATTGATAATTTCGATTCTAAATATCTCTAGAACCATTACTCGTAGCGATTAGGAAATGCAATCCCGCAAATGCTCGATCCCGCAAACGCGGGATCCCTCTGAGATTCCGCGGGATCAGAGATCAGAGACACTTTGTACACATGTACTGGGTTCTATATCGATCTCGTAACCCGGGGGATTCCCCTTACGGTTTGGTCATTAAGTGAAACAAACATTGTTAGATTTCTTTCTGGCGTATGTGCGTAAGTGCAGAAAAGCGTTTAACTAGTACTTGTGAAGAATTTCGTCAAAAAACTGCCGGACATAATTATCGGGACAAGCAAAATTTTAGGGTAAATTTAAAGTTGAATATCTCTTGAACTAAAAAAGATTTTGGGATGCGGTTTGAACCAGGTTTTAGATGCATCTGTTTTGATTAAGATGCTATGTGGTTTTCGAAAATATATTTAGCGAATTCTCGTATACAGGGTGTTTTCTAACAGTGTGAAATTTTGGTCAGGAATCTTTTTTACCGCAAATTTACAATTTTTAAAAAATCGTAATTTTTATCAAGTATGACTAATCTGTATTGAAAGTAGAAAAAAACAATTTGATCTGTTTTTTATTTCTTTTTGTTTTAAGGAAAATACGACGTTTTTTCGAAAAATATGCATTTTTAGTCATACGTATGGTCCTAAATGGTACAAAAAGCTTTGTACATTCTGCATATAGATATACCTAAAAGCAGATAACTAACACAATTAAAATAAAACTTCAACATCAGAATAATATTTTTATTTATAAAATAAGTAGATAAACTATAATAAAATTTAAGTTTATTTAATATTAAATATATTTTTTGAACGCCCTATATACATCGGTCCAAATTTCAGTTTAAGATACACGCTATATCAATATATTGTGGGCCTATGCAAAATGTACAATGCCTTTTGTACCATTTAGGATCAAAAGTATGACTATTGTTTACAGTCCCGCAATTATGCGGATCCGCGGGATTGATTGCTTTAATCCCGCAGGTTTGCGGGATTGAGATTTTGGTGCGGGATTGCATTCCCTAGTAGCGATATTCACCAAGAGACCTTTTTTACGTAAAAAAGGTCGTAAATGTATATTTTTTTACTCAGTAGTTTTATACAGGTACGGACGAAAAGTTATTACCTTTCAAACCCGTTAAGAAATATGTAGGTGACGCCCTCTACAAGTAAGTAAGTCATATTGATATCAAAATCAAATTTTTCATACAAAAAACTCCCAGATATCAATTTTTTTATCGAAATATCGACGTTTGTTCAGAAATTATTCGGAAAAAATCGAAATAAAAATGAAAATTCTACACCCTGTATCTCCGAAACGAACCATTTAAGGACACACATTTATACGAAATTTTTACTTATTTTTATCTGTAGAATATGGTACCGAAGTTTCCAGAATACAGTTCAGACCACCTTGTATATCTCTCTGGATTGAACACGATTATTATTAAAACCAGAATACTATTGTTTTTGTTAAAAGACAAAATAAATTGCATATTTCTATGTATTTATCACTCTAAACATCCTTGCACTTATATGAAGCCTGTCTAATTCCACACTTTTCTTTTACAGTATGCCGCGCTACAACAGGAGGGTTCAAAGAGCCGGCGGTACCAACCCAAGAAAAGGCGACGGAAGACCCAGACTGGTTTACTAGGCGCGCGCCACTGCTGCGGTGTTGCCAAACTTGAAGAAACTTCTCCGAATTTAGGGAAAAATTAAAATTTCGATTTTTACGCGGAGAAAAAGAAAATAGGGTATTATTTAATTAATATATTATAAATTAAATTAAATTAGATTTTAGTTCAAATTTAGAGAATTTTCAGGGGAAAATTTCTTTAACGGTTGGTAACACTGTTAACCTATCGAATAGGGTCCTAGAGGATACGGTCCTATCCTCGAGATTGTGATATTAATGTGAATAATTCTAAAAGCTAGTAGATATTTAATTAAATAATTTAATACTTATATAATAGTTATTGTAATATTGCTAAAACAAAGAAATATCAGATTACTACGATGAAAAATAATAAAAGAACTGAATATTCTTATGGAACTTGAAGTAATAGTGAAACTATTGATATTATTGTACCATTCCAGATGTCTATCAATGTCTTTTTTCTCTCTTTGAATTTTTATGCTTGTCGAGCTTAACTACGATGCAAATACTAAATTTCTAGGTTAGGATTTGAGATTAAATAAAATATGATTAAAAATTGTAGTTCTGAAAGTTTAAAACATTCTGTCAGATAAAAATTAAAGTTAATTTATATTATTGAATAAAAATGATGTCAATGTAGGCGTAGAATTCACATTTTGGTTAAATAATGTTTGCCTCGGAATACAAAATATCAGTGTTAGTAAGAGAAAGTAGTCTAAACTGTACTGCTTTTGCACAAAAGTTAAAAAACAGTTTTTCAGATTTTTAGATGCCTTAAAGCATTTCAAAATCACTTACCATCACAAATTTAGAAATAAAAATAAAAAACTTCAGGACCGTGGACATAATATATTTTTAATCATATTTTTTCCTGTAAATAATAATTATTATTGTAAATAATACAAAGAGAAGATTTACAAAACGGGTTACAGTAGTTTGTTAAAAAATACATTAAAAGGAGGTTGTGATTTGTAGAAGAATATGACTGATACAACGATTGGATGAAGTATAATATTGTTGGCTGATTTTTAATTTTTTGTAAAATAGAAAAGTTTGGTTTAAAAAAAACAATACACAAAATAAACTGTTTCAAATATTGAATTTGTTAATAAACCTGTATATTTTTAAATAAACGTGTTTTAAACCAAGCCTTGTCTATTAAAGTATGTTAATAAGACTATTTACACTGTTGAGAAAAAAATTAATTATTTTCTCACAGCGTACTTTTTCCAGATTCCTACTATATTGTATATGTAAAAATGTTTTCCTGTAAATATTATGTAAATATTTATTTTAAATACATATATTTTCATCAAGTCCAAAGCACTATATAAATGTACATAGTATTTGAAGCTTCGATTTCGATCAACTTAAATAATAAAAAAAGTATTTATAAATTTTTGTTGTTTTACTTCAAGTTTTGTGCCCCTAAATGATTAGAAAAAAATGTGGTTAACTAAGAAGTGACTGAATGGAGTATAAAAAATATGATAAAATTAATGAAAAAAGATGAATCGATAAAACAAAAAAAAGCAACAACAAATATAAAAAATAATACAAAAAAAATAAAATGAGAAAAAAAATAACAAGAAAATAAAAATTCAGAAAAAAAGATAAAACTAACTATACGACAAATATACAACTCTCATAAACCTCTAACAGAATAAAAATAATCTTTTGTGTGCTTTATTAAATTCCTCGTCCATCAACGACGGCCTACGCCAGCTCCCTCTGGACTAATTTACGCGACAGCTCTCGGACTTATTTATAAACAGATTAAAGAATGAGCTCTAATAAATTTATCCCGCTAGTTTAGTGTCGCTCGGGCCTGAATATATGGCTGTTTTGTTATGCCTGCTCGAGGCTTTGTTACATAAGTCTCGAGACTGTTGTTTCTCGTTCTGGAGAGGCCCCATTGTTTTCCATCTTTCTATTTTCGAGATCTTTTCCCCGCGCTTAAAAGTCATCGTGATTCATTGGGTTTTGGGTTCGATAGGAAACGAAAAGTTATTTTTGAACGGCTTTCTTCTTTCAGTTGAGATTAAATTGTGCCTTTGCGGTGTCATTATTATAAAAGTCATTTAGATTTTATGTCTATATTTTGGAAGAGTAAAATTATTTTTCCAACTACCAAATCAAAAATAGTAGATAAAATAGTACTTTAAGATTAAAGGATACTTTAACAGCGAGGATAGGTTAAAAACTTTATTTCTTATCGCACGTTTATTTATTGCTTCCATTTTTGAAAATTTTTGTATTCCTTTTCATAAGTTATTCGGGATTTAAATGATTTAAATTTCTGGCTCCAATTCAATCATCAATCGACACGAAAGAGAATTAAAAAATATTGACTCAAAAATGGCAACTTAAGAGACAGCTTTATTTATTTGTCAAATTACATAGAAAGCAACGCCAACTCAGCACAATATTTTTTCTACTAGTAATAAATTCCTTGAAATAATAATTTCTGAATATTTTTTAAAACGTAGGGTTAGTTGGGGGAATGGTAAACGATTTTAACAAAAATAATTTTAACAAGGTATAACTTTGACGTTTGCACTGAAAATTCTAAAAGGGTATATTTTAAGACACTTTACTTAATAGGTGCTTTGATGGACAGCTAGAAATTTGCAATAGGTTCCAAAAAAAAACTTGTTTACATTTACCCCATAGGAAAATCAAATATTGTCCTATTTTAATAAACATATACATATTTTAATTTATCAATGTGTTTAATTGTTTACAATTTTCCCCATGGAGACAAAATAAAACATTTTGTTATAGAGTCAAATTATTTATTACTGTTTCATCAAAAGTGTACAAAAAATATTAAGGTTTTTCAAAAACATCTATCTTTCCAGAAAACGAATATATCGTCCTATTGCTGCTAAAAGTCACTAACTAACATTTTTCCGAACAACCAAATTCAATCACTAACTATGTTTTGAAGCGGAGAATCGATTACAAAAGTCATTAACTACGATTTCTGGCTATTTATGTTTTATTTTAATACTGAATAGTTACTAACTATAACATCTTTATGCAATGCAATTCATCTTTAGACGCATTTTTCTCGGAAGTAATAAAAAGTAAGTTAGTGATTTTTGGCAGCAATGGGACGATATTATCTTCCTACAAACCTAACCAACGCATTTTTAACCTTTCTCTTTTTTTGGTCTTTTTCATATCTGTCTTGGAGATTATCAGTGTTAACACGTGTTTACTATTACCTCAAAATCAAGTTTACAATTGCCCCGCAATCCTATTTTACTGGGGTATTTGCAAACACCTCTATACTTTCCCGTAAAATGAAACCACTACGCATATAAATTATCTTAGCTTATTCACAAATTTAATTTTTTAAACAAAATTTCGCTAAGGTATAAAACGTTTTACAAGTTTTAAAGCAGCTCTACCAAAAAAAATGTTTTTGCACCATCAACAAATAGTGCTAAAAACTCATTTAATCGATGCAATACACATCAAAGATGTGGGCGCCACTGTAGCCAGTCGACTTATACCCTACCCGCCAAATTCAAAAGTTATTGGACCTATTTACAATTGCCCCTGTTTTGTTCTACCTATTGAGTACTTACCCACCACCCGTGTCACGTTTTTCAGGTAGAATGGCAGTGACGAAAGTGGTTCTTCGTTGGGAGCTGTCTATTTCGAAAAATGACTCAAACTTATGTTCTTTTTTTTAAACACGACACTCTATATATTATTTTTATTTTATTTGCCTTGTTAATCTTTGATTAACGAGAGCTTTCGAAAATTATAATATACTCTATATTTATTTATTTAGGTACTGCTAAACTGCTAAACGGCTCTTATTTTATTTAACTTAATTTTACCAGATAATTTTGCTTTGCATCGTGATATTTTGATAAACTACACGGAAACTGAACATGTGCTGCTTTTAAATAACATGCCAATAACCAACATTTTACGTCGAATAAATCAGTTGATTGTTTTGATTACCTAATTTAAACCGGCCGACTATGTAATAAAGTTAAATAATGCATTTTTACCCCGTTTATGAAAATAAGTATTTTAGAAAGCTCGTAACAAGGAAAATAAAATAATATACAAAATATCGTATTAAAAAAACATATAAGTTTTAGTCAATTTAAAAAAAGACGTCAGAGTTACGTCACTGCATTCTACGTGAAAAACTGTACGGGAGGCCGTTTTCACCTTTTCGATAAGTTATGATACAAAGGGGATCGAAAAATGCAATAATTTCAGATTCGCCCTGTATTTTAGGAAGTAAGAGAGCTAGGACATATCTGTATGTAGCATCTTTAGTTTCATAAAAAAGTAACAGCGTAATGTGAAAACCGCATCTTTGTATTTCGACTCATAAACGAGAAACCCTGCAAAACACACGAAAATGGGACACCCTGTACAGACGTACTGCCAAATCAAGAAATCAACTACGAATGAAATCCAAGATCGATTTAAATATTTTATATATTTTAATATTTTTTGGTGTTCGTGATAATTCCTTTGCTACTTCCTCCAAAAACCGACAATACGTGGAAGGAGCGTTTCGAGGAAGTAAACGGACGAAGTAGCGTTTTGACGAAGGAGGAAGGAACACACAGTCGCATAAAATCGATATTTTCCCATAGTAAATATATGATTTTTGGACGAAGGGACGCGAGGAAGGAACGAAGTGAAGTAGCGAAGTGTGAGTATGGGGCTTAAGACTTACATTTTCATTCTTATTCTTTTTGCATGGCTAGTATTCTCATTATATTAGCTCTTAAAAAAAAGAAATAATAATTTTAATATTAGTATTCTTGATGAAGAAAAGAAATTAATAATTTTTTATGAAACTTAATGTACAAGAAGTATCGTTTTAATGTATTTATTTTGTTGTGCAGTCAGCGCTGAATTCATCAATATCTAAAGTAAAATTACCTACTTTATAATAGATTGATGGCATCCTCCTTGATATCTTTTTTATCCTATCGTTTAGTCTCGGTTTGTTAAATGATCCATGATTAATAAGATTTTCTTTAGATCGTACAAGAAGAGATGAAGTTAGATGCCTTCCTGGGTATTGTTTGAAATCTGTTTATTTTTGAATTATTATTTCTTTAAAAAAATAACTCATCATATTTTACAGCTACTATCCTTACTTTCGTGTATCAGTAATGAAAAATTAATACAGGGGTAGTCTTAAATAAGTGCAAATATGTTTAGGGGTAGTATCTTTCGACCCCAGAAACAAGATTATGGGTTTTTCTTGGCGAATTTTTTTTTTGTCAAATTTTCGAATTTTTTTTTTTTAGTTTTTAATTAAACAAAATTTCTTGATAACGTTTTTCAAACCCGCTACTTCAAGCATATCAAAACGTTTAATAAATTCATAGTCACACACAGGTTCCTCAATATATTTTTCTGCCTGCATAACTTCGGCTATGATTTCATTATATTGTAAAAAATGAAAAACAAGTACTATTACATTCTTGCGAGTGCCTAGTTTGCCTTAATTTTTCACAGAAAATTTCTTCAATAGGGAAAATACCGCACAGCACTTTTTAAAACAATAACAAAACAATTATACATAACCACAAAAAAATAATACGAATTTAAGCCAGATGTCTGTCAACGTTGCCAATGTTTAGCTCAATTTAATATTATCCTTATATTGCCTATTATTCGACTTATCCTTATTTATCCTTATATTTTACAACATGTGGCAACCGCGCTAACTGAATCTTTCAAACTCACTGCTTTTGTCCAGGGAATGCTAGCATTCACTAGTAAAAGTTGGTTTTAAAAAGAGCTGTTGAACTTTTACTGGCGAATGTGAGCTTTTTGGTAATTGTTAACAATCACTGATTTCCAACTTTTATTGAAACATATAGAATTTTGAATCGAATTCAAAGTAAAAACTATAGTCAAATTTCACCCAACAAGGCAACAACTAAAAACAATCTCAATTCATACGGACTTATTCTGTTACAGGGTGGATCATATTCGACGCTTTTAAATGGAAACACCCTTTTCTATAGGATATAGACGAAAACTAATATCGGTGTCTGTAGCTCAATTTTTGTCAAAAAACATGACTGTGAAAACCGCATATCGATATCTGTTACCGTTTCGGAGTTACGGGATGTTTTGCAAAAATATGCATTTTTAACAAATCGCTGTAACTTTTTTGCTTTGGAAAATTTTGTATTTTTATGAAAACATTTCCAAAGCACCTTTTTACGTAGAATTTAACGGTTTAAGTATATTTTTTTTTAAATTAATAATTTAAGAATTATCAACAGAAAATTTGATTTTTTATATAGGACACCCTGTATATTTTTAATTTATTGAAAATAATTTAAAA